TTGTCCTGACCCAAAAAACTCTCAGTAGTGCACAGAGGTACAGACTGTACATTAAGTCATATCAATAATGTGTTTTTTTTTCTTTTTCCCTCTCTTTATCTCTTTATAGATATGCTGGTCAGTCAAAAAAAAAAACTCCATATAAACCTAAAATGGAAGGACTGCTTACAAAATAATACCTTTGCCAACCGGAAACTATTCAGCACCCTGAAAGGAGAGAACGACACATCAATACAGGAAACTGCACAGACTTTGCAACTGTGCACCTCCAACAGAACAGAAACTCACAGCAGAAATTCATAGTGCTCCAAACACTGTGCAGCAGTTCTTCCAATGATCGGTGCAATGGTTCTCCACTGGGTGGGCATCAGCTTTGCCAGGTGGAGCAGTTTCTCCTCTTCTTCCCGTGACCACTCGGTCTTTTTGATGCTTGGGTCTAGCCACTCGTACCTATTAAAAAGTGAAGTAGTTAAGAGGGATGCAACCTGTGCAGTGATCTACCCTGAATTAACTTGAAGCAGTGTTTCTAAGTATCATTGTAGGAAGATTTTGYAATCCTGATAGAAATATATATTTAAGCCTATTTGTGTATAAAATGATATCACTGCAATGTACTTTTATAATATATATCTGGATTTTAGAATGSATTAATAATGCATCATTTTTCCTAGAGATATTGCTTCTTTTTTGATTCTTCCCTCTCTTCTGACAAAGAAGAGAATCTTAAAGTTAACTCAAAAGAAAAGAAAGATGAGACAAGACCCACAGCAACTAGAGGTACCAGAAGGAGCAGACTTGTTTGATCTGGATCCTTTAAAGAGTTGTCTTATCTTTAACAGTATCAGTAGTTACTCACAGGCTAAACAATCCAAGAATCCAAGAAATACGCATTAATTCAGTACTTAAGAAATCTCATCTTATTCTTAAATGGATTYATGCTGCATTATCTGCACCAGTTTTATACTTACATTTTTGCTATTAATTGAAATTTTGAAGTGAAAATTCTAAAAATCAATACCCAAGACAAACTCTTATTATATAAAAACAGGATGTCTGTAAATTACTTGAGAATTTTAATTCTTTGGAAAAAAAAAAGATTTAAAACTCTTGCAAATATACAAAGCAATAGGCGTATGTGTGTATATATATGTATATTATATATACTTATATAAAAATTCAGTGACCCTCTATTTGATCACACTGTGATCACTTGTAAAATGATCATTTGGTTATTTTTCTTCATCATCCTTTTATGCAATAGGAAACTGCAATGTACACAAAGATGGAACTCAAACAACYTTGAAATCATTATTCCTCCATGTGCATAAATTAATCTGCAGCAAACTCTAAATTCACAGTAATTCCGAATCTCATATTACCAGTCATGGAATTTATCTTACTTACCATCTGGCTTTGCACTGTTTTGCTGATTTCCTATGCAATAAAGAAGCAATACGAGACCACTGGTTTTTGCCATATTTCATCACAGCTGCTTTCAGAATTTCATCCTTAAAATGAAAATTATTTATATTGTTACAGATTACCAAAGCTCACAAAGCAGAAAGTCTAAGCACAAGCAAAAAGGAAGGCAGTTGGTTTCATCTAAAGGGCTGACCCAGTAGAAATGACATGGCGTTGATATTTCTTTTCCATGTTTTATTTCAAGATCAATGAGAATTGTACTCCAAAGCCTGCTGAAACTGATAGAGATGAAAAAGACCAGCCTAACTGCCAACCTGACAGAACAGTTTCAGTGCTCTTATATTTTTAGCTTCTGATAGATCTTTTCTGATAGTTCTGATAGGTCTTTTTTTAAAGGATACCAATAAGAAAGGAGAGGTTTGTTTGTCTGTTAGTGAAATACATTAAAAAGAAAAAAAAAGGAAAAAAAAAAAAAAAGGAAAATGCTCTGGAATGTCTTGATTTAAATAACACCCTGAAGTGATTTATTTGCAAATTTTAATGTAAATCTATATTGCAATGAAATATTTACCTGCTAGTGAAAAAAGTTCTTAAAAACTTCAGTTTTTAAAAAAGATACATCACAAATTATGAAGTTCCTCTATTGCAAACAATCCTTAAAATAAATCTCTTAAACATTCTGAATCTGAAGATCAGAAATGCTTCTCCTTACAAGTTTATAGAGAAAAATATGTAATGGATTCAGTTACTACTACTTTAGCTTGGAGATCAGTCTGTTTATACACATAGAACTGTGCCCAGAGATAATAATCAAATGCCGAAAATGAGTAATTATAATCTGATCAACTCGTCAATCCACTATTTTCTCCTTCTCTGGACAAATGAGTTCATTACTTCTGTTTTTCTCACAAGTCAGCAACAGTATTTTAAATACTGAACAACTCGTTTTTGTACCCTTGACAATCATGGATGTGTTCTCTATCCAATAAGCACCTGCAGTTGTTTAGAACCTGTTTGGGTGCACAGTGCAGTGCAAGTCACCTGTCCAGTGCACACAGCTCTTGCAGTACACGGCAGCTTTCACTGTAAACTGAGCTTCGCCTTCAGGTGCTACTGCAAAGAAGCTCATATGATTTATATGAAAAACAGATACATAAATTATCTATACTGACGATGATAGAGCTATACTGATGACACTCGCAGACTGATTTGCAAGTTATCAGTCATTTTTCTAATAACTATCAACTATTTCCACTTCCTGTATTTTTAATACTGTATATTGATATTAGATCAATCATAGACAAAGGAGCAAATAAAAGGAGCTTTCTATTTCATCTCTGATATACAGAAACACTTGTAAAAAAATGRTTTATGCAACTCATGCTGTGAAAACAAGTCAGCTATGAAATYAAGAACAGGGCAAATACACAGTGGTACTCCCTACCCGCAGCTGACCTGCRATTCAACAATCTCCTGATACAGACCGAGGATATTTAAGAGAATACAACAGATTTATTACTTTTTCCCCACTCTTTTTGAACAATGCAAATGATTAGTGTCCACAGCATATAGTGGCACATGACAGTTTAGTGTCAGGTGCCTCCTCTGCTTTTGAACATAACACCTGGAAAAAAATAATCTAAAATAACTATTTTTTTGCTTTATTGTTTTCTTTTTCACTTTTATCTGCAATTTAGAGAAAAACAGGGACACCCTCCGCGCATGCGCAGCAGGACGGCGCCCTCCAATAGCGCATGCGCACCTACCCAGGACCGCCCCCCCCACCTCCCCCCATCGCTGAGGAGGCCCAGAGTAGGAGTGGGGGGGACTGAAACCAACGGCTCTTACCTCGGTGTTCCGCCACACACCGCCTTTAATCATAATCCGCGGCATCTTGGCGGCGAAGGGGCGCGAAGCTGGGCAGAGGAGAAAGGGAGGAAGGCGGCGAAGCGCCGCTCGTCGCAACGGCCCCGGTAGAGACCCCGCGCAGGCGCCGTCCGCGGAAGAGTGCGCGCTCTGCGCATGCGCACGGGCGATGCGGCAACGGCGGCACGGAGGGGGCGGCACCGTTTGCGCACGCGCAGCGAAGAGTGCGCCCGGCAGGGCGCTGTGCGCAGGCGCCAAGCGCTGGGCGCTGACGGGCCTGGGGGCGGGGCCAGGAGGAGGGGGCGGAGCTTTTCCTGGGAGCGCAACAAAATACTGCGCGTAAAAAAAATATTTATTTAACTAACTCATCAAATATTTTGATACATATTTGAGGGGCATTTTTTTTTTCCTCCACTCTATGAGGAAGCACATAGGAAGAGCAGCTGATCTTAAMGGACAAGCTGACTATTCACTAAGCCCCTCGTGCTCCTAAACCTACAAAAAGCAGGGGAAGGAGACAGAAGAGCAGAAGAAAGTTASGATTTTACCACTGTTACTTTTACTATTAATTAAAAAAAAAATGGAGCAGTGGCATCCAGGTTTCATACATCCATGTTAAGACAGCTTACTGGACCTTCTAGTGTATCGTGGTCTTTACCTAGAATTTACCTAAGATTGCAGAGCTTCTGTTTCAATAATAATGATGATAAAACGCTGAAGCTGCATTTCCCAATTGGGTACTAACAACGTGTTAGCATCTAACATACTTCCTTGTCACAGTTTTATTCCAAGAGCTAGCACAGTAATTTTAAGATCTGAAACGTTCTYGTTTCATTTCCCAATAGTAGCAGCACCTTCATGGGGTTACAGAGTTTTACTATAACCTCATCAATAGAAGTCATCACTAGATTCACTAAAATCACCAGATTATTTAAATTCCTTTGCTGCTCTACCTTMTATACGTGCACCTATTGGTTAAGTTTATCTCTACAAGGTATCATCCTTATTAACAAAGAAAAACATAAATTTCAGAACAGTAACATAACTGTTTAAATTACAATGATTTATTTTAATAACCTCCAAGTTTAGCTATAGGCTTATTCTACTTTGTGGATTGAACTACAGCACCAAAGGACAATTAGTACAAATCCTTTGCCATTTTATTTCCCTTCAAGATAACACTGCTGTTATGGATACCTTTGAAGAAAGCAATAGTAGAGATTTCATGGTGTCCAGCACTATATAACTCAAAGTGTGATTACAAAGTGGATGTAACGTTCACCTTATTGCATTTCTATTATATAATAAGTGTGGTTTGGTTCATGTCATGATACATATCATTTAAAAAGTACAATAAAGCTCTTAATTTAACAAAATAARTTTGACAATTCAAGATACTGCTAAAGTTTTTAATGTAATCCAGGTTGTATTTGCAACAGACAAGTGACTAAATGAATGGATATATTCTTTGTTTCTCAAAATAGACAATATGGTTATTTTTTCCTCCCCCCCCCCGAAGAGCAGTCACTACATTTTACCAGCCTGAGGAAAGATAAGGCATTTCATAGGGGACTACTATTAGGCATCTACATAAAATCCGTGAAAATGGATTTGAGGTTTCTCAGTATCTTAAAAGATCTGGTTAGTTAGCAACATTACTGTTTTTTTTTTTTTTTTTTTTTTTTTTTTTTTTTTTTTTTTCAGACATCTCAAAAGAACTATCAATGATAATTACAGGCAAGATTAAGTGTTTAAAAACATTTCATATATACATCTATAAGTAGTAAAGACTTCCATATCCTAGTTACCCAGCAATTACATCAATCTTTGTGAAGGAAGGTTGCAGGAAGGAATACATGTTTCAGCAGATGGAAGTTAGCATTAAGCCTCCAACTACATCTACAAATTTTTAGTTCAAATGTTATTACTTCGCACTACAATACACATCACTCTCCCTTTAGACATTACTTCACCTAAACAAAAGTTCAGTTTAGGAAAAAAGAGTGACAGAAAATACGATCACCCATTTACGAGTGTTTCAGCTGATAAGCATAGGGCAAATCACAGCTCTGACCTCAGASAGCAGAAAAATTGCTTCAACGTGAAAATGCAACTCCAAGAGCTTCTTTATAGCACAACCTTTGCTGGAACAGCTCTCAGAAGAACCAGAGGCAAGACAATCTTGATTTTATAGTCTCAACTATAAATGCAAAGCAATGAGTAAATTCAAACAATGCAAAACCCTCCAAAATCAAGACCCAGCTTCCAACTTCTATGTTTACATCCCAGCTTTTAAATGTTGCCATTTATGCTTTTCAAGCAGCTTTTTGGTAGAAAAAGTGACGTTGCACTTTTTACACCTGCACACTTTGTGTGTCTTTGCATGCTTTTGCATAGCGTATCTATCTATTGTAGAAAACGCACACCTTTTGCAGTGTAACTTTAGATGAGTTAGCAAATGACGCTTCAGGTGGCCAGATGTGCGGAAAGAAACTGAGCACTGACTACACTTGAATGGCTTCTCCCCTGTATGAATTCTCAAGTGCTGCTTAAAGTTTCCATTGTGGGTTGTGCTATAGCCACACTCTTCACATGTGAATGTTTTGACAGGCAGTACCTTTTGTTCATAGACATTCCCACTAGATGAGATTTCGTTACCAGAGTGTAAAGTCAGATGCTGTTTCAAGGTTAACCACTTGTCTGTTGAATAGTCACAGTTCCTACATTTGAGACGTTTCACATTAAAATGTAAGACCTTGTGTCGTTTCAGGTGACTGGAAGTACGAAAGTTCTTTTGACAAACATTGCAGCTGTAAGGTTTCTCACCTGTATGAGTTCTCACATGCAGCTTAAGATTGCTTAAAATATAAGTAGTGTATTCACATTCTGAGCACTGATAGAACTGAGGCTGACTCTGTGCTGCCAAATCACACTGTTTGATCCTCTGGACTTCTGTGTGTTGACCACTCGCTTTCAGAGAAAGCAAGGAATCGACATCATTTAAACCTTCTGAGGAAACAAAGTTTCTTTCAGGATACATACCTAGATGCCCTTCACGACGCAATTCAAAATCCTCTAAACAGCTATCTACGCAGAAGTAGTGACCAAACTCATATTGATTCTTCACATGAAGACGGCTGTGTCTCTGCAAATGGCTTGAAGTTCTAAACGTCTTACTGCATTCTTTACATTCAAACAGTTTATGTCTATGTACTCTTAGGTGCGCCTTAAGGCTGTTATAAGCAGCAGTTGCATAATCACAGTGTTCACATTTGTACATTTTGAATGAGGACAAACTCGAAGGCCATGTATCCTTAAAATTTTCCACACGTTTATGGTATGCATCATCATTATCTTGAACTTGGGAATAAGTGCCCACAGGGCTGAAGAAAGGCTCTTCTTTGCAAATCACAGTGTCTGCTACGTTCGACTCTGGAAAAACTTTTGATTCATTTTCAGAAGTAGATAAACCGCTGCTTCCATAGCTGTTTTCAAGGAATTTCTGCCCAGAGCACATTTTCTTATTGTCCCACATGCCACCTGCCTGCTTAAAGTCCAATTCCATCATTTTACACATTTCTCCAGTTGGATGACTGTCCTCAGAAAGAAATAGAGAAACACAGTCATGGGAATCACTGTCAACTTGATATATTTTGCTTTCACAGTATTCATTACTCTGATCCATATAACTGTTAGTCTGCTCATGAAATTTCTTATGAAAGTTAAGATGTTCCCTAGTATAAAACACTAGGTGACACTCATCACATACATAACTCGTTAAAGGTCTTTGGGTTCTCCTTCTTTTACTTACACATTCACTGAGTTGCTGCCCTTGGCCTGTTTCCTTCACGGCATGTAATCTTCTTCTGTGTCTCTCTAATCCAGCGGCGGTTGTGAACGCTGACTGGCACAACTCACAGCTATATGGGTTAGTTCTTGAATGGACATAGCTATGCCTCACCATGCTTGTAAAATACAATGAGAGAAAGGTGCAGAACCTACACTTATACAGCTTATACCCAGCATGCCAGTACATGTGATTCAACATATAGGATAAAGTAACACAGGAATAATCACACTGAGGACACTGGTAAGGTGGTCTCTCTTTATGACCCTTCAGATGATGGATAAACATCCTAGGATTTGAGGAAGCAAAGAAACAAATTTTACAGGAAAATGTAACAGGAACATCGACAGTAAAGTCCCTCTCAATTTTGACAAAAAAATTCTCATATTTACTTTCCTTTTTCTTCATTTCAGTTTTTCTTTCTTCAGTTTTTCTCTGCCTTCTTTTTTTAGCATTCATCCTATTTTTTCTTGTCTTTTGCAATCTGGTAACTTTCTTATGAAATTTAAGGTGATTTTTAAGGTTGGCAGAAAAGAAGAAAGTTCTTTTACAAAAGCAGCATTTATATTTTTTCTTATCTTTATGAGCTGCATAAACATGCTTCTTTAGAAGTGCACTATATTTAAATACAGAACTACAGAACCTGCATTTCAAATTTGGCTTTTCATGCTTATTTATAGAACATGATCCCTTAGAAAGAGGTTTGATGCTCACACTGTTACTTAGCCACGATAAACCTTCTTGCTGGTTTTCTAATTCTTTTGGGCTTGCATGAGAAATTGCATTTTGTCGACGATACTTTTTTCTGGAAAATGGAGTTAACGATTGATAAATATGCTCTGTGGGAGAATTTGATTCAGCACAAAGAAAAGGATTTCTCTCTATATTCCCTACATCTTTTAGCAATTCTTCTGAATTAGGAGAAAGCTTATTAATAACTGGAGGAGAACTACTAAGAGTAAGCCTCAGTTCTTCTCTCAGCTCATGCTCCAAGAGAAAATTCTGAATTTCATCTTCAGATTTGCGTCTCTTTCTTGCTCTGTTAACTTCATTACTTCCATTCTTTGAAGACTCAGTATCTAGAAAACACACACACAAATGAGATTTCACACATTAACCAATGTTCATGAGTATTCCATAGAAATACTCCAAAACTGCCTACTATGTACTTTGTACTATGTACTTCCTCCCTTTTTTTTTTTTTTTCTCTTTTTCTTAGTATTTTTTTATTCCATTTCTTTTTCCCTGGCCACTTCTTTCCTCAAACCCCACCCACCCAACCATCAGAGTAATATTGTAAGAAAAGTAATTCTAATTGGAAGCTACCTTGTGCCTGCTTCACTCTTTTGCTCAAAGCTCTGAATTTCACAAGACACACCACCACCTCTTTTAAAGCTTTCACAAAACAGCTTTATGCCAGAATTCCTATCAGGGCACTACTGAACTTCATCATCTGAAGAAAGAAGCTCAGCAATCAGCTTAGTTATCACAGAAGCACAAGGTGTACTTTGCTGTCTTCTGTCTTTCTCTTTTAAAAGTACTCTTGGTACTATGCTTTTTCCCATCCCTCCTGAAGGATTTTATCTGCTACAAAAAATGCTGAAGCTTAAACCCAAGTCACGCATCTCCCTGTCTGTGTCTACATTGATGAATATAAATTCCCCAATGCTTTTTTCTCCCTATCTATCTACCTATGAATAGAAAATCCCCAAGACTTCTTTGTTTTCAGATTCTCTTTCTGAATGAAAGGCATCCCTCTCCCAAGCTGCAGTCAAATGAAACATTCTCAGTTTGCGTCTTAACTCTTTTTTCATAGAGGCCTGTGAATGAACTAAACACTCCAGCCAGTGCCCACTTTCAGCTGCATCTTACCTTCTATTTGAAGGCTCTTACTAACACATCTTCTTTCAGCATCCTTTCTATAAGCCTTCCTACCTACTTCAAACTTGAACATTAAACACTAGGGCTCATATCTATATGGTTTCTTTCACCCTTGCACTCATATCATTAGGAAGTTACCTCCTGTTTCAGCAGTTGTCTCCAGCCCTGGGTGAATTTCAGGTTCTTTCTCTTGACTGCCATAAAAAAGAATACTTGCAGTGCTGGCAAGTGGTCGTTCATTTTTGGATGTCGGTGCTAAAGTCAACTCTCCATCTGCACCGATGGTCTCTTTGCCAGCAGGGGAGAGAAGAGTAATCTTCTGAAAACAGTCAACATTGTCACATCCCTGGTTCTCACTTGTTTCATCTACCTCTGCAAGCTCTGTTTTCCAAGCTGATGTAGGTAATGCATCATTTGGATTGTATCTATCCTTGCTTAGATCACACTGGTCAGCTAAAGATGATAAAGTTGATGTTGATTTGTTACACACACTCTGTGCACATTTTTCTTCCAAGCATTTTACCTGATCATGCTTATTTGAAGTAGTCTCATCTTCCCAACTCCTTAATCTGTTCTTTTCACCTGCAGGTATCACATTGCTTTTTAAGAAGCTGCTGTTATCCCAGCTGGCCTCTTGCTCGTCCTTTGCTTTCAGTTCAGGAAGCAACTTTGCCTGCTCTTCACTGTCATCTTGGATAAAATCATCATCACTCAGAACAAAGATAGTGATTGGGAGGACAACTTCAAAGACATCTGAGCCTAAGGATAGAAAAAGAAAATATTAATAATGTTATGAAAACATGAAAAGTAAATATTTTTCTTAAATCAAATACATAGCACAGCACTATCCCACAGCTACAAGATGTAGCACCTCCATCTCTTCAATTTTTCCACACACAAATAACCCCTGACATTTATAGTTGCAGACAGCAGTGATACCATTCTGCAACCCTCACCATCAAGCACTAAGAAGTGTTATAATTTACTTGCATTCTAGAAGTGCCTAGCATTCACTGCTGAAATTATCTTTACAGAAACTATATAGATATTGCAGAGCTCACTCCTGTATTAGGTGAGAAACAGAAAGAAAAACAGAAAACATACCAGAGAGGAGATGCAACAGCACAGGAACAGAAGTGATAAAGTGACTTGGTGAAGATAAAATGTTAAGTCAACAAAGCATCGAGGAACAGAGTGTTCAACCCCCTGCACTATCTTCATTAGACTCCACGTTAAGCCATGAGACTTCTCACTCTCAAGTTGGAAAACCACCCGGTAAGACACAGTGTAAACCAATGCAAATAGCAAAACACAGCCTAAAAGAAAAAAAAAAAAAAAAAAAAAAAAAAAACTCTGCCTGATGGCAGCTCAGCTTAACTCGCCCAGTGGGTGCAACTGCTTCCTCACACTGCTTTTGGTAGTGAACTAGGCAGTAGGCACAGGTCCTGCCTACCTGCTCGGCCTGCCCAGCGCCCAGGAGCTGCTTTTCCACATACTTGGACTCCACTGCGCCACAGGCAGCTCCCTCTGCACAGCAGATCTCTCTCAGGAGAGCCCCTGTAGGTGCCCCCCCTCCACCCTCAGCGTTCATGACGCGTTGACAGAGGAAAAAAAAAAAACAAAAACGAATCAAGAAACACTCCGAAACAAAACAAAAAAACAAAAAAAAAAAAAAAAAAAAAAAAAAAAAAAAAAAAAAAAAAAAAAAACCACACCACCACAAACTCACAGCAAGAACCATGGCCAGTGCGCGTCCTCCCCCACCAAGCCCTTCGTGCGCGTACGCAGCACCACACCAACGCTCCATTTCCCCACCCCCGCCGGCTCCGCAGCGCCCCGCTCTCCTCTCCACACGGCCCGGGCCGCGCCGGGTAGCCATGAAGGCAGCGAACACTCACAGCCATCAGCAGCCTCCGAACCCACCGGCGCCTCCGGCGCCTCCGCCGCCATCTCCCGCCGCAGCCACGCTGCGCGCCCACGAAGCCCCACAGCTCTCCCGGCGCCGCCGCAGTGCGCACGCGCCGCAGCGGGAAAGAGGAGGGGGCGGCGCCGCGCGCGCGCCCGGGGRGTGGAGGCGGCGCCATTTTAAGCTGAGAGAGGCGGGAGGGCGATGGCGGTTGGTGCTGTTGGTGCTGTTGTTGGGGAGGCTGTTCTCCTTCATCAACCCTCTCTCAAAGTCGTGCAAACACCGCTTCTTCCGAAAGGAGGAGCGTAGACACACAATTTTCTTGATCAAGCTGTTATTTCTCTTCCTCTGAAGATGTGAGGATGCTTGATATTGTTCTGACATACCCAAGCAGATTTTTCCATCTCCTTATCTGTTCATCGTATCTTAAGCATCGTATCTGATGCTTATCTGATATATACATATCTGATGCTTAAGAGTGGCATCTCGACTTTGTCCTTGTTGTACTGTTTAATTCTGGTAAGTGCCAGATGAACACAAGGTGGAGCTATTTTGTACCTGCTGGCCTAGAAATAGTTCTTTTTGCAATACAAACACAAGAATGTTGATTAACAGCTGTTTAGTGTTCCAGCACAGCGTTTTAGAAGGAGCCTATTCTCTCTTAATAGTGCAAATTGGTAACCTAAGGAGAGTTCCCAAAGGAAAATTTAAAAAAAAAAAAAAAAAAAAAAAGTGTTGACATGGGCCAAGCTTATCATTTGGTCTTTGCAAATAGAATCTTAGGATGAATAAATTAACCATGTTTACAGCCTTTGTTTGGTAGTGTGACTCCAGCTCCCTCCTAGCTTCAAAGTGCTTTGTAAGGATGAGTCAGTCTAGGAGAAACACTTCCAGTTGTGTCTATGGTAAAAGGGTGATTTTTGTGTGTGTGAGAGAAGATTAATGTGGAGCTGCTGGAACAGGAAGCATCATACTATGAAAGGAGCTCTCTAGGCAGCGGTTGAAGGAAGACCTGATTATAGAGAACTCTTGGATAACTGTGAACGCAATATTGAACAGTATGTTTCAAGTGCTGCCTTCTCCAGCCCCAGCTGTTATTGTTAAAGTGGGAAACTTGCCTCACTTCTGCTGAGCAGCTGCCCCTTCCTCCTATCTTCAAAGCAGTTTTGGATGGACAGGTCTGGCTCTGAGCAAAACCAGACCATCCTGCTSGTGTCCCTGATAGCGCTTGTCAGGCCAGGGGCAGAGGCACATCTTGGGGATGGCCTGGGGAYGCTGCTGCTCCTCCTCCCCTGGGGCTGCTCCRKCTSCAYGGCTGGGGAGCTGCCTTCAGCCGCTGGCTCTGGGCAGTCGCTGGTAGAGCCTTCATCTGGAGGAGTCCCTGCATGTCCTGTGGGGAGAAAGAGCCTCCTGGGGATWTGTTGGGGCAATGGAAGATCGCAGGGCGCTGTGTGTGTGGGAGCACCCACTGCAGCTCTCTGTTTTTCCATAGATGCATTCCCAGAGCCAACACAAACCTGTCCCCCAGCAGCCCTGGCCTGASAGGCCTCAGTGAATCGTCCTACCTGTGGAGGTCTTGGTGTCCACGGRGGACTCCTCGGCTGAGGCATCAAGGGACAGGCTGATGTCCTTYTTAAAAATGCCTTGGCAGTTCTCTATGAGGAAGGTGGTGATGATGCTCTCCACACTGAGGCCAGTGGGAACAGGAGAGGACCTAACGAGCAGAAGCAGCAGAGTATGTGGAATCAGAATAACTTGGTCTTCATCAGTTATCTTTTATGTGTCCTCCCAGATACATACATTGTCACTCTCATGGTACATCAGCAAGCAGGCCTACACCTTGCAGCAGTGGGACACTTAGATTACCCTATTTTTCATTGAAGAGACTTTCGTTTAATCATTCCCTGCAGCCCAAGTATTATATTAAAGGAAATACCATATTAAAGCACTTGGTGATTCCCTTTGTTGGACTCTCAGAAATTCCTGTCTGCCCATTTCTGCAGTTAGAAAGTGACTTGAGGCTGAACAGGCCCAACTTTCTCAACGTCTTTACATAGGAGAGATGCTGCAGTCCCCTCATCATCTCCAGCTCTCTGCTGGATTCTCTGCAGTAGTTCCACATCCATCTTGTACTGTGCCCAGAAAGTGACTCAAGATAGGGCCTCATCAGGGCTGAGCAGAGGGGAAGGATCACCTCCTTCAACCTGTTGCAACATTTCCTAATGCAGCCCAGGACACCATTCACCTTCTCCAGAAGGACAGCCCCCAGCCTGTCTTGGTGCAATGGGGTAATGTGCAGTATATGAAGACTTTGGTGTTGCATACCAAAAACCCTTCTCTTAGCAACAGCAAGAAGTTACATATTCTACCACCCTGGACACAACTTTGGCAGGCAAAGCGCAGCTGCAGTTCAACCAATAGTGTAACTGATCACACACAGAATAGTCCAATAAACTTCTTGRTCACGTGCTAGCCATGTGGTTGAGGTTTCTTGTTTTTCTTATATAATTCCTTTTCTGTTCAGCAGACATTCCTTACTGCTCTCTTTGAGAGTGACCTCCACAATTATTCATCACTAGGTACAGGGCCTGCATTTGCTTGGGCTGAACGTGCTCTCTGCCCATCTCTCCAGCCTGCCCATATCCATCTGAATGGCAACACTGGTGTATCTGGAGTATCAGCTACCCCTCCCAGATTTGTAGCCTCAGCAAAATCGCTCAGGGTGCCCTCTGTCCCTTCATCGACGTCGTTGATATTCATCCACGAGTGAACAGGATCGAAACCATTACTGACCACAGGGGACACTGCTAGCAACAGGCCTCCGACTTGACTCTGTCTGCCATTGATCACAACCCTGTAAGCTCCACCATTCAGATGGTTCTCAGTCCACCTCGCTGGGCCCTCAAATAGCCTGCACTTCCTGAGCTTGCCTATGAGGATGTTGTGGGAGAGTCAAAAAAAAGTCAAAAAGATTGTTGTCAAGGTAGACAACAATCATTGCTCCCCCTTCAGCTACCCAGCCTGTCATTCCACCACACAAGGCTCCTCGATTGGTTAAGCTTGATTTCCCCTTAGTGAATCCATGCTGACTACATTCTTGTCCTTCAAATGCCTAGAGACCCTCGCAGGGTTGGAGATGAGGCCATAGTTGTTCCTCCCTCTTGCCATTTTTGAAGACTGGCGTGACATTGGCTTTCTTCTAGATTCTAGATTTGTCTCTTCTTCGCCATGACCTTTCAAAACAGAGAGTGCCTTAGCAAGGACTTCTTCCAGCTCCTGCAGCACTCTTGGGTACATCCCAAGTCAAATTTGGTTAGTCAAGTTAGGTCAAGTTTGCCTAAGAGACCTCTAACCCCAACCAAGGGCAATTCCTCCTTTCTCCAGACAWCCTCTGTGGCTGTCAGGGATTCCAGAGGCGTGGCCTTAGTAAAGACTGAYGCAAAGAAGGCATACAGTAACTCTGCCTCTTCTGTGTCTTTTATAGGCAGGACACCCATCCCATGCAGCAGTAGAGCCACATTTTCCCTTGTCTTCCTTTTCTCTTGATGCATTTAAAGAAACCCTTGGTGTTCTCCTTGACAACCCAGAGCAGGTTTAATTCGAGAAGCAACTTAGCCTTCCTCATTGCATCCCTGCATGGCCTGACAGCATTCYTGTACTCCTCCCAAGGAGTCTGCCCTCTTTTTCACCTTCTGTCTACCTTCTTCTTTGTCCGCATTTTGCCAGGAGCTCCATGGTCATCCTTGCAGGTTTCCTGCCCCATCTGCTTGACATCTTCCTTACAGGGATGCAGCGACCTACAGCTTGGAGGGASTGATGTTTGAAAAGCAACCACTATTCTCTTAGTCCCTCTTCCTTCTAGGGCCCTACCCCATGGTACTCCTCCAGGCAGKTCTCTGAAGAGGCCAACATTTGCCCTCCTGAAGCCCATGTTGCAATCCCGCTTACCACTCTGCTTCCTTCTCACTGGACCCTGAACTCTGCCATCTCATGATTACTGTAGCCAAGGCTACCCCAGCCTTCACATATTCAWCCAGTCCTTCTTTCTTTGTTAGCACCAAGAGCACACCACTCCTGGTGGGCTCTTGCACCACTGTGTCCAAAAGTTACTGTCAATATTCTACTGTGCTGTCATTCCATCATATACCAGGGTGGTTAGATTCCCCCATAAGAATCGTGGCCTATGATCATGAGGCTACTTCCATCTTTCTGTAGAAGCCTCATCAACTCCCTCATCCTGGTCAGATGGCCTGTAGTAAGCACCAAAGACCGCTTCTGCTGTGTTTGCCCGCTCTTTAACCTTTACCCAGAAGTTCTCACATCACTCTTCATCCACCTCTAGGCGGAGCTCCATATGTTCCAGTTGCTTTCTCACATAAAAAGCAACTCCCCAGTGACACCTTTCTTCAGGGGGTCGGGCCTGGGGAAGGGTACCTCTCCCCGATGATGGTTAAACAAGACCAGAGACAGGAGTGACCTGTAGGGACACAGGCCTCCAGCTGGACATTGTGCCCCCAGGCACAACTCCACGCTCTGCCTTTCTGGCCCTTCACATGCCAAGTAAAGAAGACAATGTCCAGGTGTTACTGAAGACAAGGTAGCCCACATGCTCTCCCCTCCCTTCATCTACCCAGCCGTCATGGCAGGCTCTCAGGGTTGCTAAGCATGTTTTCCCCTTGGGGATGTGTCTGACTACCCTGTTCTCCTCCTTCCAGGCTGGAGCTGGCCTCCACGCAGAGCTGCTGCGGGGCTGGAGGTGGCACTGCCAGACCTACCATTGCCATGGGGCAGTGCCTGGAGCAGGGGGGCTTCCTCTGGCTCTGCCCCAATGGTGCCTGTCCGCACGCAGGACTGTTGTGATCAAGGGGAGGGTGAGATTGGGGAAGAAGAATCACTCTTGACTCCCACTGCACAGCGAACAAATGTTTATTGCATATTTACATGTAAAATGTTTATTGCACTGACTGGAGGTGACAGGGACACTGGGCTCATTGCAGCCCAGGAGCCTCCTGTGCTCCTCTGGCAGTGAGCTCTCTGGTTTCCC